GCAAGTTTATTTTTATAATTACAATTCGCACAATTGAGTGCTTAAATGGAGTTGTAGCTATAGTCAACATTTTGGACACGCTAGTTTTTTTCTAACAAAAACCTGAAATAGTTTTAAAAAGTTGCTGTAATTAGTCTTTGTTTAAATAAAAAACATCAATACTATTATGTTTCCACATATATGGTGCAATTGCAAAGTCACTGCTAGTTATCTGTAACGACATGATTGTGTTTGTTGGATGTAAAGATGTACTTATTCAAGACATGAGGATCCAGTTGTTTTAGGTTTGATTGTGCAAAGCAATCCTCCTTTATTTGTTGAAGTTTATCAACTACTGTAAGTAATGTTGGTAAATAACTACTGTGTTGGTTGCCCTGCCTGCAGCAAATGTGATGTAGAAATGCAAATGACCTTTTTCACAAAGATGAAATGGGGTTAATTGCACTGTGTTGAAAGTTTGGATTAGCTCACGGCAGGCTCCATTTGGACTAGCAGCCCTTTGGAAATGCCCCCCCCCCCCTCAATTAAAAAAGCATAGTATGAGTTTTTTATGATTTTCATTAATTGTAAGTTGCTCGCTGGTTGTTTTCCTTAGCTTATTGCGTTTGACCTCCGCCGCAGTGCTTGGCTGCTCATGTGGAAACTGCAGCAGCTGATGGTGAGAATGATGAGTCTGGAAAAAAAAAAAGATCTGATTGAGACACTGATTCCAGGGAGAGCTGTTTGTTGGAGACCTGGCATGTAAGGAACTGTCAGGATTAACCGCAAACTGCAATGCTTGAGCAACATCTGAAGGTAAACCAGGAGCCTCACTTGGAAACATACTCTGCTGTTTTTCCTCGCCTCTGTTTAGGATATTTGTTGAGAAGAACTCCCACAGGATGCAGTAGCAGTGGTTGTATGCTCTTAAACTCAAACACATGCCTTCACCACAGTTAAATTAGTTGTAGGCCAAGCTCGTGTCCTCAGAGACGAGGCTGTGCACGCACTTGTGAAGCGTGTCCTCCACCTCTCTTCCATTGCCTGGTTATAAAGACACAAGAGGGAGAAATAACTAGGTGACTCATAGCAACTCACAGCTGACTTATGTAACAAATTTTATTTTGATTTTTGCATAAACCACCCAGAGCTTTTGTACACAGAGCATGTAGATGATGCAGTTTTACTCAAAGCTGTTGATCTTTTATCATCTCCTTGTTAGTGATCTAACCGTGTGCTTAATTTAAGGCTCAGCCTTGGATTTATGTTGTGTATGTATGTATGTATGTATGTATATAGATACAGATATATGTATGTATATATGTATGTATATAGATATATAGATAGATAGAGAGATAGATATCGATAGATAGATAGATAGATAGAACATACTGTTGAACTATAGAGTGTATTTTTTGCTGTTTGTCAAACAACTTTAATTATGTCCAGAACTGGCAGATTGTTGGGGATGCCCAGCATGGTGAGGAGGAAGTAGTGTTAAAAGAAGGGCAAATGATTCATCCCGGTTAAAAGAAACTAAAATGAAAATTACTTTCTGGTGTTTATGTACAAGCCAAGCCTTGGTAAAGCTAATAAGCAGATATGAAACTGATTTCAAGGATAGATATTAAATAAGCCCTTGCTTGCCGTAGACTGCCCCTATATGACACATTTGTTAGATATTTCACCACTCAGTTCCTCAGTGCTACGAAATCAGAACCCTCTCTGTCTAATGCATATTAAGAACAGGGGTGCTGCTTTTATTTTTGCATTAATTTTGTGTGGAGTTCTTTATTGGATTCTCTGTCTTTGCACTTTTCTAAATAACTCTTTTAACTGCGTGAACCTGCAAGCGATGCTTTTACTTTGATAGTCTGGCATGAATACAATAGCATTCAAATTCCTTCTCCCTATGTATGTAAGATGCATAACAATGAAACTGTTATACAGAGAACTATTAATTAAGGTTCTTAGGATTTTATTTATTGTTTTTCTTTCTTTTTAACCTCATACATGGAAACACTGAGTTGTATTTGACTTTAGGTCGTTTTAAAGGGCTAGATGTGTTAACAACAAAGCAGGATTGGTTATTTAGCAAATGCAATCTGCAAAGAAAGTTGTAACTTTGCTTTAAAACATTCAATGAAATGTTGCTCCACTGCAAAAAGTCCTCTTGGCAGCTCAGAGCCATGTAAAGCACCTTAGTGGATGTTTAGAATACAAATGAAGTGCATACATGTCTAAGATATTGAAGGAGTGAGTTTTTTTTTCTTCTCCTTCCCACCAAGTTGCCCATCTGTCAATGGAGATACCATATGTCCTAAGCCTGCAAGGCATTTTATAATGGACACTTTATCTCTGCTGGTTTAAGAGTTGTTTTTCTGAAGTTTTTAACATTTTACATTATCCCCCTAGTTCCCAACCTTAAAATACTGTTGTGTTACCTCTCTTTCATGATATTCAACAAACAGCAGCAAGATTTAAACCACACAGCCCATATTGTATATATATTTCTGTCATAACAACTCTAAACCACCATAGCATGCTATGTCCTGTGGTTTCTGCAGACGGCTTGTTGGCAGCGAGTCCTGGGGGCCACGAGGGTTTTGGGATAGGACTTCTGAGGTTTTATCTCGGATGTGCAGAGTGCCATAAATGCCTGATCGGATTGATATCTGGAAAGCTTTTCAGTGTCTGGATTTTTGCCACGTTTCTTGAGTTGAACATGTCGGTCTAGTTTCCCAGTCATTCGGTTCATGGAAACCCTAAATCTTTGAATAGATGCATCAGATTAAGAAGGTGAGTTAGTTTGCTTTTTGTTCTAACAGGATGTTCACTGAACTTGATGTTGGTGATGGAGGAAGCAGGCGGGTGTTTTAGTTTCTCATCATTGTTCAAATAAATGTTAGAAGAACCATATCACTAGCTACCATATATTTACAGTTTGCTTTTAGGATTGATGTCCATGGGTACATACAGACCTAATTAGAATGTGATTTAGGTTGACGATGCCAAAGCCTATTAATTGCTGTTTTGGTATAATGATTTACAGCAGCTGGTAGATTAATTTAGCCTTTCATGGAAGGTAGAAATGCACTTAGAAACCGATCCGAGACAAGAAACACTGGATTTGTTTTTTTCCCTCTTTCTTTGGTCCTGATCAGTGATTGGACAGCTAAAAACTTTTTTTTTACTTATTTTTTTTTTAAATCAGTAAACACACCATGGATATAAGCACATTTCAAGATGTCTTAGTTCTAGGGGTGTCCCAATATAACTTTTTAATTTACGATGTGATACCGATATTACGCCTCTGAGTATTGGCTCATACCGATATTGATCCTTTACGATAATGGCATTAATCATGCATACTTTTATTACTTCTATTCAAGTGTGGGATAATAGAAAACAGTTGATCAGGTGATATTTCTCCAACAGAGAACAATATTTAACAACATGAGGTATAAGATCAACTGACCCCTTTCTTCTTCCCCAAAGAGTGACATGTTCTATGTGTTCTTAAATATCTAAGATTTCAGAGGCAGGCCAATGTAATCCGATATAAATATCGTAAGTGAGTATTCTAAGCATACTAATTATATTACAACTATTAAAAACATTTACTGTATGTAATTCATTCCCATGTGTGTTTTTGTATTTATTTTATGTGAAGCACTTTGTGATTTTAATCTATAAAAGGGGCTTCCTCAGGATTAGCTGCTATAATTTGGTTTACAGCTGTTAGAAGCTTCTTCAATGGGCTCATCCGCCATTGTCTATGTTTATCCTTTTGATGGGATCGGTGAAGTCACGTAATTCCATACATGCTGCAGTGTCTTAAAGGGGAAGGAAATACAGCCACCAGGCAAAACAGCACAATTATTTACAGAATTTACCAACATGGGAACATTTTTGCCAGTTATCGCATTAAATCACTATAACTGTAAAAATCTGGTTTATCAACCAGCCCTATTTTGCACTGTACTGACTTTCTCACAACATTTAACGACATCAAGCTAAATGTAAAGTATTGTGGTGCTGAAGAAAATCCGCTGACCTATTATTCCTGGCTACCTTTAGCATTTTGTAAGGTGCCTTTTTTCACATTTTTATCATCACTTCCAAACACAGCAGCCCCACCATGCAGCACAGCTGATGTCTATAAAAAGCAAAAAGACATAAATTGCATTCTTCATCTTTGTCACCATTAATCAGTGTATATTCCCATACTGGACACTCAGTCTACGAGTAAGGTACTTCTAGTGGACAGCGCTGCAACACTGAAAGAAATTCCTTTCAAGCAGACGTCACCGATTAACCGGATGGAATAAATTTTAATTGGATAAACCATTAATTGACTGTTAAGCGTAATTCGATATCCACAATTATATCCACCGTACCCCAGTTGACATTATCTACCCATAGAAGAAACCTTATGATTTTATTTGTTGGCCAGACCTCAGTGGTCTGCTCTTTTCACCGTTGGTCACTGCAGGACAGGTTATGTTGGCTGAAAGACCGCCCTTTTGATGGTGATTTGTTTAGAAACCTGTCACTCATTGCAGACCTTTCTAAACCTTGCCCGTGTCACCTCCCCATCTTTGTTGCCAAGATGCTTCTGTGTTGCCTTATCCGTGACAATGGAGTCACATTACTGATGTGAGCGGACAATAGGGCAGCATCTGCTTCTCTTTCCCACACCCCTCAGATATCTTGGCTTCCTGCTGTCACTCTCTCTCAGCGCCGCGGCATTGTGATGTTGCTGGCGGTCACGTCACGTTGCTCGCGGCACGGTCAGCAGGGTTCTTTCGCACAACGCTGTGGTGATCTGTGGCGTCTTACTTGCTGCCTGTAGAGGATCAGGGTTCTGATTTGTTCTGTTTCAGGTCATCGTTTGTTTGTTCTTTGATTTTTGTTTTTGTACCAAGCATTTTTGATGTAATGCTTTAGTGAAAATGTTTTTTTTAATGCTTTGTTCATTGTGTTTTACTAAAACATAATGTTCTCTGCCTTTTCTGTAGGTGCAGTGTGTGGTGTAAATAGAACGGGATTCAGAAGATAAACTTGCTGGTTTCACTGCTGAGGACCCACTAGAACGGTGAGTCCCAAACTGACACATGTCAGACATTTACTCCAAGACATTTTGATGTGATTTATATAGATGGGTATATTTCTGGCTGGATGGACAAACCACAAAGCTGACCTTAGTCCACTTCATGTGAACAGACTGTAATTTTTATTGCTCATGGACGACCAATTTGCCCTTCTAAGCATTTATCTCTTTTTTTTTTTTATGCCTCTGTTTTCTGAAAGGCTATATTTGCAGTGTGGCGGGGGGTGCTGTAACTCAGATGCATTGCCCAAAAATTACTCAAATCCCCTGAACACTTGCATGCTGTACATCTGTTACATATATTAGAAATAATCTGATACATCAGCCGATATTTGCATTGTTTTATCTTCTATCGTATCGACTGATAAGTACATGCGTTCCCCGATTCCTATGCTCATTTTGAAGCATTGCAGCTTCCTCCCTTCTTCATTGTTTAGTTTGATTTATTAGCAAATGTTTCTCTTCTAGAAATTAACAGTTGCTTAACATTTGTTATTATTGTCATTTTCTTTGGTAAACAGAGGAGAAGGCAATATCAGCCGAAAAAATCTGCCTATTCTGTGTCATTATAAGCGTAAAAAAACGGGTTGCAGCTTTAGCGCTACGTTTTGCTTCCAGTGCAGCTGCAGGTCTTTTGTGGTAATTCTCTATCAGCTTTTTACGACAACATGGTGACATTTCTGTCCATTATTCTTCTGAAGGAACACAGGTTTAGTGAGGCTCCACTGAATGCGCCTGTTAACAGAGTTTTTAAGCCTTTTTAAATCTCTTCAGTTAAATTTGTCTGTTTTGAGGAAATGTATTTTATTAATGTATCCCCACATCATGATGCTGCCAGTTTTTAAGGGGCGGACCCATTCTTCTGGTTTAATTTAGCATTTTTTTCTAAGCCTACTCTATAAAGCTTCAAACTCAACGCTAATTCTGACATTTTGAATCGGAAAAAGCTTCCTGGATGGAAAGTGAAACATCTTCAAACATGGAAACAAGTCCAGTGGATTGTTTTTAAAAAAAAAAAAAAAAACTTTTTTGAATGCCATTTTTTAAAATGTGTTTAATTCCAGTCTCATCTATCCAGAACAATCCGATGTCAGGAAGGACTTCTAATGACTTTCTTTCATCTGTGGATTTCCTCTTGCCACTTTTTCTTAGACTTTTTATAGATGATGTTGACTTTTTAGTAGAAACTCCGTTCAAAGCTGTAGATCTCTGCAGTTAATGACAGGCTCCTCCTTTAATGCCAGTCTGCTCAGGTGGGAGAAACACTAGACATGGCAAACGGGGAAATTTTTGTCCAGTTGTGCTCTTCTCTTTTTGTTTTCAGAAGACAGATGGAATAAGGCTCTGTGAGATGCCCGGAGCTTGGAATATGATATTCTTTATAAAGTGTTTTCCTTCTCTATAAAGTCAAATATGAATCAATAACATTTATTTTGTTATAGGTTCTATTGTGAAAAATTGTGAAAAAGTTCAAGTGGAATGGATTCCTTTGTGAGGCACTAAGGCACCAGATGCCAGCACTCATCTCTTCTCCGTGTTCAGTCTTGCAGTGCACTGAATGGATGCAGTTTACTCTCCCCTTTTTCATGCATCATATTTCTGAGTGGAACAACTCCTATCACAGTGTGTCTCCCCACCGGTGTTGCTATTTTTAGCGGCGGCTTAACTATCAAGGGATGCTGCTGCCGTCCTCCATCCCTGTTTGTCTGTTTTTTTTCCAGTTCTCCTCCATCAGCCGATGTGTCAAAACGTTTCCCCCTTTTTCTCTGAATGTTTGAAGTAGAGAAGAAGTGGAAATAAATGTGTGTGTGTGTGTGTGTGTGTGTGTGTGTGTGTGTGTGTGTGCTGGATAAAAAAAACAACAAAGAAACATAAACTGACCACATGCAAATGGTGGAGTGTTTGTTCAAGTGAAGCTCAAACTGCTTGAGTCATGAAAACGAAGCCAAATAAAATAGGCTTTTGTGTCCGAGATGTTTTAATGGTCAGCGGGAGCTGAGGATGCCGTTAGTTTTCAACACTTCAAAAGAATAAAAATAATTGGCAGGGTCTGATTGATGGATTGATCTTTATTTTCTGTGTTTTTAATCATTTAATTGATCTCTTTCTCCTCTTGCTTATTGAGATTTGATCACAGGTTCTCATTGGGGTGAAAATGTTATCCTAAGTCTATTTGAAGTGATCTTTGATTGCCGTTACAGCTTCATCTTTTGACGTTGTTGCTCCATCTTGCTAGACGATAAACAGATAATTACCAAGCTGTTTGAAGAAATCTGCTCTTTGACAAGTTTTTGATCCCGTTGCCGTGTTGTTTGGCAGAACTGTGACTAAGCCAACTCTCTCTCTCGCAGACGAGAAGCAATCCCACACATGGATTTTATCAGGATGCCTCACTGTTAACACAACAGGACCCACGGTAGCTTTTCTTTTTCGGACAAATGATTCTCCAGATGTCCCAAACAATCAGTAGGAGGATTCATCACAGAAAATCACTTTTGAACTATTGCACAAGCTGTCCAGCCTTGTTCTTTCTGCAGGATTTCAATCTCCTTAATGTTTTCCTTTTTGGAGAACTGTGGCTTTGTTCTTGTTCTTATTTTCCTAAGGCTGTAGTTGAAAAGTCTTTTTCTCATTAGGTAGAAAGATAACATGTGCTCATTAACAATTTACATTATGTAGAAGTTTCTGTTATATTGCATTTTTTTTGTTTTTGCTGCATATCCTAACATAATTAAATCTTATTGAAAACTGGATAAATAAAAATGGATCTCTTCTGCTGCACCAAGTCTGCATATTAGCACACAACCGTCTGTGTTCATCAAACATGCATCTAGATGTTTCTCTGAGCGCCTTTTTAGAGTGAAACTAAGCAAACATGCAAATTGTCTAAGTTTAGATTGAATTCAAGAGGTTTACAAAAAATTATAGCGGCTTTATCTTTGGTGTCGGCACAACTGCGCTCATCATGCATGACGCTTGTGTTTCTGCTGCCAGTAAAAAAAAACATTTCCAAAACATCCAAACCACTGTTTTCCTATATAAAGTACCATATTTTAAAAACAGGAGAACTTTGTAAAATCACATCTGTGCTGCTATATTGTTAACTAGAGCTTCTTTCCTACACAGTAATTTGACAAGGCGAATGATTTGACAAGTTGGTCATTGACCTGAGACAGATAAATCAGTGGACTAGCTCTGCACTGGTGGCAACAGGAATCTATAGCCTCAGCTCATGATGATCCTGGAACTTGCTCAGTCTACCTCTATGGCGTCACATTTATTTCAAAATGCCCGCGAGCAAAATAAACATACTTGCATTTATGTTAAACTACTTCTGCACATGGTTTATCTAACGCTGCACAACAAAAACACACATGCGCAAGAAACTGCTGCTCCGAGAGGCAAAAATTGCTCTCTGCGTGCGCCTGAGCTCCTCCCAGGGGCGCTAGGGATCATGCTGGGGATCTCACAGCTCTCACAATTTTATATCCAGCGACAAATTTCGAGGATGGCTACGCTCTTGAAAGCATCTCCGGCCTTGGACAGATTTTTCTCCTTGTGCAAAGGAAAATGTGTTTTGACTGGTTGGGTGGAGACAAAGGTCTTCTGTAAGCCTCCTCTTGATTACACATAAAGTAGTGTCATTAGGCCTTTGACTGACAGCTCGTCATTCATAACTGACGATGACTGCTGGAGGCGGGACAGTGGCGGAGGCTTCTCCAAGGTTTGCGTTACGTGGGGTAAGTGGTAAGCGTCAGTCAAAGGCTTCCTGACACTACTTCCCATGTGATTATGTCTGCAAGGCCCAATCAGGAGGAGGCTTTCAGATTAGGTTTGTCTCCGCCCAACCTGTCAAAACATATTTTCCTTTGCGTGACGTTCATCCGTGATTTTGTTGTGCGATGGTAGATAAACCATGTGCAGAAGTAGTTTAACATACATGCGACTATGTTTATTTTGCTCGCGGGCGTTTTGAAATAAATGTGACGCAATATCCCTCTCTCCAACTTCCTCTCTTCGAAGTTGTTAGATATAAAAAATATAAAAATAATGATAAAATTATTAATACATTTTTATTTTCACAAATTTCCTTACACCTGCCCCTTTTTAAAAGCAGTGTGCAATATGCAAACTTTTCAATTTCTAGCTCCCTAAAAATCTTTACACAAACATATGTATAAAAACCCTCTCCACACAAAACAATGCATTTTCTTCACATATATAAAATATAGCTAAAGCCACCTAAAACCATGCCTGCACAAAGCTGCCAGATAAAGAGGGGTTTCTATCATAGAAGTTGCAGTAAAGTGGAATTTTATTTGTGGCATCTTGTTTGGGTCTTGATTCATGCTAGAGACTAAACAGCATGACGGCACCAGAGGATAATAAAGCTGCATTTCCATTGGTTTAATAAAGTAGTCCCTGTTTGTGTTGAGCTGCAGCTCACATCCAGCTGCTGTTATTGACACAAGGAGACAGTTATTGTCGTCCCTCTGCGCCTCTTAAACAGTCCTATTGCTCCTTCTGGACGGTGTGGGCAGTGAGCTGACAGGTAGAGGAGGGCCACCGCCTTGTGGAGATCCTGATGAGTGTGGCTCGCATCCGGGGGCATTCCAGTGATCGCCCACCCCTCCCTGCCCTCTTTTATATATCCCAGTGGAAAAGCGGGGAAAAAAGTTAAAGGTCATCAATGATTGTCGTCAGTTTTGTCTGTTTTCCTACAAGCGCTTTTTGCATTTGTAGAGGTCTAACCAAATTGTTATCCTGCATACATATTTGCTTGCTTTTCGTTCCTAATTAAGAAAAGAAAAACACATTTGCGTGCATGCAGACACTCGTGTTACAGCGGCTGTTATTTTTAAACAATGCCAGCACCCTGTTCTGTGTGGGTTTTTATGGCAGCAAAGTTTCTGCCTCCTGTGTTGTTGAGGAGCGCTCCTGCCCTCCAGCCTGCACCTCTCCTCCATTATTCTAATGAATATTTAGTG